TAAAAATGTGCGGTAAATGAGTGTAAAAATACGTCAGACAAACATAAAATAGATACTAACATCACATTCCACAAGGAAGTAACGCGTTTCAACTTGTATTTTTATATAAATATTCACTAAAACCGAAAATTAGCCTACTACTAAAACTAGCCTACATTAATTTGATTTTTGCCTCACTTGTGACAGTTCGTTTGATATGAAACTATCATTCTATGCGTTATTATTGTAAGGAAATTAATTACCAAAGCAATCGTGTACTTCCGTAAAACCCGAATAGCTCCGAAGAAAATACCGCTGTAATAATTTATTACTACATAAATATTTGTATATATTTAAGTATATAATATGTATATTATCCTAAAATCCGTTGATCAGCAGTGTTAGCACGCAAGCAACAAGAAGAAATCCATGACGAATTGTCAGATCCCTCTCCCTTTTATTATTTTCGTCTCTTACATTATTCATTGTATGTTACTCTATGGATATTGCCAATATGTTGTCTATGGTACATTATTTTGATGGCATTGGATGGTTGCGTATCTTGTATTGCATATTACGTTGTCATATTTTTTTCCCTTTTATACTTACATTTAATACGTTCTATTAGTTCCATGTAATTCTTAAGTGTAGTTATTTGTGATAGCTTTGATGATTTGGCTGTAGGAACTGTTGTCTTTGGTGTCCCGTTCTGATGCTTGCATAAGACGTCGCATGGCATAAATGTTGTCATCTCTTTCTCTTGGTTTTATTTGAAAGTATTACGTACACTCGACAGCACGTCGTCTTTACACTTAAAACTTCCGTACATTGCAATACAAATACTGTCTCTAACACTCAATAAGCTGTTTACTTATAGTAGATTTAATAGATAGAATTTATTAAATCTGCTATAAATTATTAAAAACTTCATTAAAAACATCTGTTTCCGATGGTACCACAAATTTGCATCAATTATTACAACCCCAGTTCCTTATTTACCCCCCTGCTCCTGTGCCAATCGCCGTCTATCACACGTCAATTGCAGACTATAAAAAATAAATAAAATATCAGATTGTCGCAAACCACCTCGTGAAAAGATTCCTCTGTATTTTTTTTAAAAGAACGTTGGATTTTCGAACGATGCAACAAAAGATTAGCGCGTGGGGTGCCGTAAAGAAACAATTTTCCGGCTTTCCCGCGCTCTGGGGGCTCCCGCCGCTTTATGGAATAACAGGGACATGATAAAAATGCGATATTACCCCAAGAAAATTTTTTGACAACATTTTTATCCCCTAAAATTAATAATCCTGCCAGACTGTTTTTTTTTTTTAAATTTTTTGATGCAAAAATGGAACTGGCACTTTGCATTGTATTTTTGTATGATTAACAATGACTTATTTTAATTGATTTCGTATAAGTTTCTGCTCCTTGAAGACCTAATGTAAAATATGTTCTATAATCTGCAAGGGAGATGTAATTTTTATTACAGAGCATTTTAAGGAGAATGAAGCTCTTAATTAAGCATTTAAAATCAATATTAATGTCAAATAAAAAACAAACAACGATAGTCTTTATGCCATTGCTTGATTTTTAGCTTTCTAAAGCAATGTGTGTAAAAACGTCTAAATTTCAAAATACAGTCGTAGGGGCCTATTACTTCTTTACCTACAGTTATATATTTATTACTTTTGTTCAAGAACAACTGTTATGTTTGTAAAGAAATTTTTTTTAGAAGCTTCACTGATAGCACCTAATTATTATATGTTACTTATGCGATAATATTTATTATTAAAAAACAAACTGCCATTTTAATTTAAAACAGAACATTTTATTGTTTAATCCGTTGAGAAAATAATAAAATCAATCACAATGACATATAAGTTGGACGTACACCGAATAGCAATATACAAGTACGAGTTAGAAATTATGAAAAAAAAATTTCATACGAAATCCTATCGCGTTTTAAGTCTAAAACTAACTTAGTAACTACACAAATTTATGTTAAAAACTCATATACAGACAAAAAATAACTAGTCTTCTAATAAAATTAATTGTCCCCAAGTCAACATGATGGTTTAAAGAACTGAAGGTTCTTTTATAGGAGTCTACAAAACAGTTTAGTAAAGGCTTTACCAAGGCTTCGTGCGAACGTCCTTCATTTCTAAAACTTAAAAAGAAGACTGAAGACTCATATCTGGTCTCTAACTAGGCACAGCGCACTACATAGAACACCCAGATCAATTTAGAAAAGTTCTCTTCCCAAAAAGTTCTCACCCAGAAACAAAACCTTGCACTTCTTTAACTAACGCTCGTTTAAGTGCTGGGCCATCGAAATTGTCAAATATGGCTCGATAAATCATCGATTGAGTTTAGAGCTGACCCGGTTTTAATTATGTTCTTTTAAATTATTTTTTAAACGAACTTATTATTCTTTAGGAAGATGCCATAATAATGTTTTAATTCCCTGGTCTCAGATTATGAAATTAATTCCCTGTACTATGAATACCAGAGCATTGGAATTCAATCAGAGGCATTTCCCAGAACACACAGACCAGAATCAATTCAGAAAAGTTAATTTCCCAAATAAAAGAATTGAACCCGTAACCTCCACGTTCAACGGCCACAGTGCAAGCTGTTGGGCCACCTAGGTCGTCAAGATTTTAGTTTTAGAAACAAAAGTCATTCGTACTATTTAAGGTAAAGTTCTTGCCAAAGTCAAACTAGACTGTTTTCTAACATCCTATAGTACTAAATATGGCTTTAGTTAACAATGATGGGAAATAATATATAACATAACAAAACATTTCAGTCTCAACGCCCAAAAATATCCCTTACACATTACTAAATAACCCCTGATTATAAATAACCTGGTAATATAAAAAAAACCAAGATCATAAATAACCAGAATCATAATAACTCCAAATAATTGCCACGTTTATGGGAAAGCATCAAATTTAATCATTTGTACTGCAAAATTACTAATTAAGGAGACTAAATCTAGCGACATTAAACTAAAGACCTATTGTAGGTGAAAAAATATAACTTTGAGAATTTAAGTTGTGTTTAAACTCGAAAACTTAAATTCGTAAAGTTTTTTCTGAAAAACAATATTCTTTAGAACGATGTCTTTAGATTTTTTTAAAAAGTAATTTTATTGCACGCTCAAAAACTTTAAATGTATGACGTATGACAATGATGTCCGAACAAGACTATGCAATGTACAAAAATACAGCAAAAAAATTGATCCTTAGTTTATTTAAAAGTACTGTCGTCCTATAGAGAGGAAAGAGAATTATACTTTATGTTATTTATAACCGGAACACAGCGCCACTAAGTTATTTTGTAGAAGCAACTATATTTCTATTTAACGCACATACATATATACTATATAATCCGTCTATAGCCGTGTACATTATTGTCGAATACATAACGGTATTACACACAATAATATATAAGCAGATGAACATTTCAGCAAAACTTAAAAACCAATTTTGAGAACAGTAAAATTGAATTCATTACTGATTAACTGCTGGACATGGTTCACCTTTTAGGTGAGTGTTCATTACCGAAAAGTACGTGTTATATTTGAAATGAAATGTCGCAGAAACACTCAGAGGTGCCCGGATTCGCATTCACTACGTCTGCTTGCGAGGTGGTAGGTCAAAACATTAAGCTATCACGGCTTCGTATAATTAAACGATATCATTATTTAACTTCCAAATATAAAACTGTCTTTAATACAACCGTGTCAGGCTTCCTTGTTAAGTTTAAAATTGAATTATTTATAAAAATCCTCTTTTGTTATAGAGTCTCCAGAGAACTTCGCAAAACTTGTAAGAGAACAATGTTACTGTTCGCAGTTAATGATTTATTCAAGTTTTTAGTGAAAATTTTCTTCCGAAAAAACACGACAAGAGAACGGAATCAAATTACACCTAGCGTATACAATATACGTATCTTTCTCCTTGTCACTAACTAAAACGCGTAGTGCTTCTTTCTACCCGATAGGAAAAGAAATCGCCGTATATCTATTTACGTATCTCGTTGAAATCTAGCCAAAACAATAATCTAGCATCTACCACCGATAAAACCAATTACAATAATTTAAAATTCTTAAGTAAATCTTATTATCTCACTTAGGCAAGTTAAAGTTGTGATTTTACGTATACTTCGTTTTCCTTTTAAACTAATTAGGATTTTTTTTCTAAGCTCTGCGCAGCTTGAATGGCCTTAGGATGCCTCTCGGTGTAATGGCTTTATTTATTCACTAAAATTAGTATACACATATTACAATCAACGTTATACGTATGTTTTTATTCATTTTTCAAATCGTATACATAAATTTCGGTGCAAAAAATTATGCTTGATCAGGCGCATTGATCAAACCCAGCAATTGAGAACCGGCGAATTAAAAAACAATTCGCGAAAAATCTTGTTTTTTTTTGGTTGTCGCACCCATTTATTGTTTACCCCTTCACTGTAACGTTTGTTTCAAATTTTGAAAATTAAAAAAATTGTCAATTGAATTTTCGTACAGTGTTAAGAGGTTGGCCAATTGCAAAAACGAAGATTTGATCTAAAGGAACTTAAACTAGCGGCGGTTCCTCGAGCTTCAGTTCAGTGAGGCCTTTGGAATCTCCGACAGCAGTCGTCCGCGCGGTACATGGCACGGACTTAACCGCCAACATCTCTCGCCACCGTGGTTTCAAAATTGGAACTACAAACAGAACACGTTTAAAAGACTGTACTTAATTTTCTTAAATTTTCTTCTGAAATTAGAATTCTATAGTCTTTTAAAAGTGTTTTTATCACGGCCACGGTGTCAAGTGATTTTGGCGAAGGTGTGAAAAAGCGAGTGGAGGCGGGAACTTAAACTAAAATGCGAGCACCCCCTTACATACTTCGTTTTTGCAATGGCCAGACTAAGAGCAGGGGTGCACGAGGTAGCTCGTGGTCGAGTTGGGTGCTAGCTGGGGATCGCGCCTCGGGATCAGGTGGGGTTTTGAATAGGGGGTACTCACGACGTCGGGGGTGGAGGCGCCGTCGTGGCTACTGTCCGGCGCGGAACGGGGCTCGCCGTTGGTGTCCGGGGGCCGCGCCGTCTCCCGCTCGTCAATCACCAGGTCGATGGGCATCTTGCCCTTCAGGCAGCTGATGTAGCGGTGGCAGAAATTGTCGCACAGCTCGTGTACCTGCAAAGATTGAAGACTTCTTAGTCGCAACTCCACATTTCTTACAATTTAAGTGTGTCCTTCTTTTTTAGGGAGTCCGATATCAAAAAGCATTTATGCGTGTTGATGAAACAACTTGGGAATGTGGTGTATTTTTTTTTATAACACCAAGTAACGGGAAAAACGAGTTGTACGCCTGTATCACTCAGAGCTATAAATCGCAAAGATCTGAGACTTGACAAGTCTCAAGTGCCTGTAATTTTACCAGTGCCCGTACCCTTCCAAACCAGAACGCAGTAATGCTCACAATACTGCTTGGCGGGCGAAATAGATAAGGTGGTAGTACTTCACTCTTCCACAAGGAGCTCTACTGATACTTCTGTCACTCGTCCAATATTAAGTTTAACATTTATTCATGTATAACTCTCATCGAAGAAGATTAGTACACGTAATGACAGCATTCTACACGTTAAGTTTATGTCATGTGTCCCATCGGATGAGTTTATTACAGGTCTTAGCCTACTCCTTTACTTAATGATAAGTTCAGGACTTCGAGACTTGTTTATACTTGCCATGTTTGCGCTATCACGACGACATGTTCCGTCAATGGATCAGTCAAGACATTGTAATAGCTAGGTTTTCAGATGAATAGACAGGACATACAGACAATGTTGAGGACCGATGTGGACTAGAGTAATAAGTACTAGATAGAACAAATAGTGGAGTTCCGCAACATCATAACTGTCGTGTGGCTGGTAAAAGAAACGCGACCTTTAAACTATATCAGCATACAAAGCTCGAAACGACAATGGAAACAAAGGACCATCGCGGGTCGCCGACCAACTGTCGCGCACACTTGTAAAAACTCAAAATGAATCGTAAAAACGGCACGAAGCCCATTTTTTTTTGTTTTATTCGATAAAATACGGCCCCCGCCGGGCGTGTATTAATTTTGTCCGCCAACCTTATAAATTTTCATAGGCATAATTAGCTTAGAAATTAACATAAGGCAATAAAAAGGCTAACGAAATTTTTAGATAGCGTTTACACTGTGAAAAGTAATAAAACGCCGGCAGGTGTAGGGCGCGGGGAAAGAACAAAATCGAACACGCAGGGCTCCAAACGTCTTAGCGGATTTAAAAATAGAACAGAGCGCCGGAAGCGGAAACAGCACTACCCGCTGTTGACAGCTAATTATGTCTTCGGGATACTAATTTCCTAATCGACAGCTTTTTCTAAATTATGCATCGCGTTGTAGCCGCGCACGCGCCGCCCAAATATTGTAGTTTGTTTATCATAATTTGAATTTTACAACCGACCGTTGAAATTCATATTTATGGTTGTGTGAATTTTATTGACAGTAGCGGCGGTTACAGGCGCGGGCGGCTCGCGCGTCTCGCTGTCAATGTCAAAATCTTGATTGAGAGCGCTTTTATAAGCTCACGAATGACAGAGTAAACACCGTTCGAAATAAAATCAAATGGAGTCTAATCCCCGGCTCTGTGACCGCCGCCGATACTATTTTCGATTCAGTGACAGCGACTAAAGATTTGACATCGTAACTCTTCGGAGATTCAAATTTGGAACTGTTCCCTGCTTAGTTAAAAGGATTTAAGGGGGCACTCCTTCACGACAACATAAGCCATCCGCCCTGTGACCAAAGAGTTATTATTCGGTGGAAATATTCGTTTGATACGACGTTATTTACAATAAGGTAATGCCTTTAATGAGATATTACGGCATTCCGACTCTCAACTTCAGACGATTATCGTTTCGAACATCAAACTCTTTCCAGAAATTTAAATTTGGAATGAGCCCACGGATTGAGATATGGAGTGTTTCTAAACGAATACTTTTTATTCAGATTTTGAATGAATTGTCTTTTTTGAACGAATGGTGACGTGATTGACGGTGATTCTTTTAAATTTAGAATGTTGGAACAATATTTTATGTCTTTTTTTGTTTTAATTTTTAGGGCTGTGGATTCTAGAGTTTAACCTGAAACAGTACAACATTATTTACTGACATTCTCCAATACGCATTGAATATGACAACGCAGAAAAGGTCAGTTGCGAAGACAGCAATCAAGACTTAGGCATACCAGGTTTTACATTTCCTCTGCTAATATAAGGAGTAATTTGCAGTAAATCAGTTCCTTGGGTAACATCGACGCTTAGTTTTAAGCCGTAGATCACAGTTTAAGTACCTGGCAGGCACTTTTATTGTTTACCAGTTATCCTGACTTTACGGCAAAGACCATAGCTGTGCTATCTTGTTATTTCCATTCTATTGCCGACTTTATTATCTTACGGCCTTATTTTAAGTGCGATATTAGTACTCAGTGTTAACATTATATTATGTTAAGTATTAATTGTGTCATAAAGGTACCTATACTAAATTTTATATTATAATCGCTAAGGCATATTTTGCGAAAAGCAAAACAGCGAAAGAAAATATTTTTATTTTACAAATTTACAAATTTATATGACGACTAGGTATTTGATTAATGTAAAACACAATCCGAACATGTACGAAATCATTTTAATAAACAGTAACTGTCAAAATAGATGTGTCGTAATGGCGGTAAAATAAAGTGATAAATAAGAAGCTATCCGTTATTTTTAAACGTGACATTAATTAAATATTAACGTTTCAATCTTTGCAGTTGGACATAGGTCTTAAAAAGTAGCAAAAGGCTATTATCGAAAATGTTTTTGTCACAACTAAGTTATAATCAGCTTTCAAAAGAAAGCATTCCCCACAAATCAATTGTCTGCCTCTTCTATATGCCTTGGTATAATAAAGTCACATGTGATCGTATATCAAATATGCGTTTATCACATGAAAGTCTTGAAAACAATGCGAACTACATGAAACAAATTATATATCATTATCTGAAATTCGTTAAAAAATAAAAAACAAACATCTACAACAAGCACATAGAAAAATTCATAAGGTCAGCTGGTTCGTTCCGTGGCTTAGTTGGCATAGAGTCTGCCACGGTTTGCTAGAATACGTTGGTTCGAATCCAGCCGGGTTGAGGGAATTTTTTCCAAGTGTTCAATCTTTGTATTAATAATTATGTGAAATTTTGTTAAGTCTCTTATATAAGCATAAAAAAGTTATCGACTAATTTTGTTCGTAGAATCTTTAAACTTCTCTAGTGAAAAGTTGCCATTTTGCAGATGTGACCTTATTACACCAAGGGTGCGATACGATATCTTAGTAATAGAAAGACTTTGATACGAAACTACAACTCAAGATGACTTTGCCCTGAAAAATTTGCTTAATGCCAGATAAGAATGTAAGGCAGAAGAGGAAAGATATACGTAAGTATATAAGATGCGCGGGCGTGTATTTGGCCGACATTTCTGATCCACTGGACAGGGCCGGATTCTTTTCTTTTTTATTTTTTTTATTTGGTTAAAAAACCAAACCGGTCTTGCATTCAAATGAAGCCTCGATTAGTTCGCGCCTCTCGTCGTCCGATAACATGTCTAGCATCCGACTATTTTGCCAGTTCTTAAATTAAAACACCAATTAATCGGCTCATAACGTGAGAAACCGAAGTCTTAAAAAAGAAATCATATCGCGTAACGAAATATACTTAATTCAGCGGAATTAGTGGCCGCTATATAAAAGTTATAAAACCGCCGAGGTGTCATAAACGCGGGGTCCCAGGTTCGAGGCCCGTAAAACCAACAAATCTGACCTACATCGTAAATCACTTAGCCACGCTGTTACAGATAACATTTACGAGTTAGAAACAAAATATGAAAAAAACATCTTTGTTGGATTTGTTGTTTGAATAGCGGACTTGTGTAATAATTGCTCATCCAGTAAGTTTTAAAAGTTAAAAAGATTTGATAATTGTTTTATGAATTGACACGTAACGGTTATCCCTTACTGGGGTAGGTAGTAATTAACTAGCTACGATCCTGTCAAATTCTACCGCTCTCGAAAAAGAAAAATTACCAAGAAAGATACATAAACTGGCAAGTTGAGAAGGACAATTAAAAAACGAATATCGATTTTCTTAAATTCTAAGCTTGACATTACCGCAGGAATCCAAACCACTTCACATAACGCAATTAAGGAACAGGCAGTGACTTAAAAAAAACTTAAAAAATAAGGACCAATCAGCGTTCCGATCGAAAAGGACTGATGAACCGATGTGACTGCCGCCGGCCATATTTAAAATTATTAAAAAACATAAATCAAAAAACGTTATTGGATATTTTAATGTAAATATAATATGTACCGGCCAGTTCGTTAAAATATTTATGAATGTTAAAATTGGTTTTTTTCCTTTGTAATTTTAAATTGAAAGCCGGTACAAGTACTTTTTACATTGATTTCTAAACGATTTAAAACCTTTCGTAAGATTAGGCGAGATTTTATTAGAAATTAAGTTTTTTTCAATGAAAAACCGAGCAATTACTGTGAAAGAGAGAAAAAACCGTGCACTTAACGAGGTCTTATTGTCGCGCAAGGCATTCGGTCTTCTTTTTTTATTTTTAATTATTATTTAGGCTCGAAAAAGCATCACCTGTGAACGGTGTGTAGTCAAGCGGAAATGGATCGAACTAACGGTGTTTTTTTCTTTATTCTATTCGACAAAAACTGTCGACGAGATCAAAACCGACATGTAGATATAGGATATGAGCCATGGACAAAAAATACTATTCGAGGCCAGGAAACAGGTAGATTCCTTGCCTCTATAGCCTAGATACTGAATCGATTATTTCTTTATGTGAAATAAATCGACGTTTTTATATGCAGCCGCGTTATCGAACGATTGAAGACATCGCCCGCGGCTCGATATTTCGAATTTCGAACGCATATTATTTTTATTATTTTAAACGGCCTTTATCTCGCCCTCCGGCCAACGATTCGTACAGAGGTATCGCATTACGCGTTATCTCGTTACAGCCTTTTTGTACTGTGGTCTTTTTTCACCAAATTTACCGGTTCCCAAACGTAGTACGGCGCCGGGTACTTTATAGAATCTGTGGGAGCGACCGATGAGATATCTCGTTTCTCGAGATCATTCGTCTCGATATAGACGTTAGCTGAACAAGTTTCGTAGAAACGTGACCATAATATTGACAAGTTAAATTAATTTCTGGTCGGGCGACACGGCACAGCGATGTAGAGAAGAATTCTGAATCTGATTTAAATTTTATGTCGCTAATTAATGTTGGGCTCAAAGCGTCTGGATTGGGTGGATAGCAAAAAAGCGGCGTCCTGTCGCGTTACCGTTAAGATTCGAGAGTATAATGGCGCGAATGCAAGATGTGACACACGTAAGAAGTTGGACCGGTTTCCGAACGGAACATGCCCGAAATGGACAAGCGCGAAACAAACACTGGCCAAACACAACCACCATTCACTCAAACACCTGATTCTAATTTCAAAGTTGAAAATAGTTCGAAATTTAAAATTCGAATCTTGAGCTTTAGGTGTCACTGGGCCGATAGAGTACGAAAGTAGGTATTTTACAAATATATAGGAGCGAGCTTCAATTTGAGTAGTTTAAAAAAGTTACAAGAAATAGAATCATTTCTGCTTAGAATTAATTTTATAACGTAATATTACATTACTATTTAGAAACATTATAATAAATATATTTTTCTACACTTTACGTAAGCGTCATAAAGATAGAATCTTAAGTAACTGCTCTGCTTAAGTGCTTATAATGACAACATTACCCATATTAATGTCTTCAAAGTAAATTTCACCAATGAAACCTTCACACTTAAATTCCTATGCTTTTAAAATACTAAAGTAGACTCCAACTTTTTCTATCTCTACATTGTGATAGTGGTGTGCGTGTCGAGACTTGCGTGTATCCACAAAATCGATACGATATCTCGATTCAGAATCGAGCGCGGATAATCGACTTGGTATTATGTTCGGTTAAACGATACCGAACATGTTCCGAACGTTGCCTTAATTTTTTTAGTACTGTACTGTATAAATAACCAGTACATCCATACAAATGATGCTATCAACTTAAATGGGATACGTAATGACAGAAAATCTGCTAACACCTTAAAGCGTCAAATGAGTCATCAGTTTCTATGGTTATTTGTGACACTGCACAGACTACAACGCCACACTCATATCACAGCTACAAATCGCTATTACGAGTGAAAAAAAAACAAATTTTACTTACTTTTTCTAATTCTAATAGGTGAAACCGTAGCACTTGTATTGCTTGCACCATCTGTAAATGAGAATGCACAATTAATATCTAAGAATACATAAGAAATACTATCCTATTACTATATAATATAGCTACAACAAACACAAAGAAAAATTCCTTCGACGCAACTGAACTCAAACCAGCATCAGTTGCCTGAACGTGGCACGATGACTAATTAGACCGATGGATTTTTCTTCATGTTTATTCGATCTTCGTATCAACAATCATAGCAAATTAGTGGCGTATTTTCACAAAAAATAAAAGATGAACATCATGGTTAGAACATGATATAATATTTTTCTCAAACATGCTCTCAATGTTTGTATTACTTTTAAAAAATGAACAGGGAAAGTTTGTCATTTAATGACTGTGCGACTTCATCCTAGCCAAGGCCTGAAAAGTAAGTATGAAAACCCACTACTGTACACTGCTCTAAACTTTTAAATCTATCACTATTCTAACAATAAATGTAAAAGAAAAACTCATACAGCCAACTGCCCAATTTACCTACATGTACCGCTTACTTTCAAAAAAAAGAAAAAGGCTGTAAAATAATCTGATCATTTGTGTCTTTACATCTTATTTATATTTTGATAGCAAAAATGAGTTCTAGTGAGAAGAGCGATAACGAAAATACAGTAATTGATTTGCCTAATTTTAAACAAGAAGCAATATTGACAAAATGTCAAACATTACTTTTAATATTAATTAATATTTATTTACTTTTTCTAATAATACATCCTTCTCTTTAGTCTATTGTTTGAGAAAAACACCTTACATACCTCGGCGGGAAAAGGGATTGCGTGACTTCTACTAACTCGTACTCGTCCAGCAATCCCTTACATAATAACTTACTATTACTTAAGTTTTATACATTCGATAAGCAACGACTTTGGATCTCAATCACTACAGTCCGGAAAAATCTTGTCTATCCGACTTGTGTTCTATATCAACCCACTGACGTACAACAGCAGGTCATTGTCCTCTAAAGAGAGGTTTAGATTTCCACCATGTTGGCCTACAGGAGACTGTAGACTATCCGACTCATGTTCCCACATCCCCACTCTAATCACACACACTGTGTCATAGAGGAATGTCTTTAAATTCCATTACACAATACAAGCACCAATGGATCGTCCAAAGTCCGAACGAACAATAGGGACGCGAGCGACCGAATAACTTATCGATGTTTTTATTAACGATTCCGTTTTAACTATCACTTCACTATATCTAAAAATATTTAAAAAATAACTATTTAAATTTGGATTTTCGCCGTTACGAAATTTTAAACAACCTTTTTTTTAAATAGAAAGTACATTGATGTCGCTAACGCAACTTTGTCAAGCACAGTGGCTCAGTTGGCACTGTAGGCGCTTAATGCATGGTCTCGGGATCAATTCCCGGTAGAAACAATTTGTAAAATGAACTTTTCTAAATTGGTTCATATCTGTTCTGCGTAGTACTGTGGCAGTAGAGTCATGGAGTTAATTTTGCAGTTATAAGATTTCGCTAGCTTCAGACTAAATGATTGATCGTTGTCTGGCATATTAATATTTCAAAGTTCAAAAACATATGCATAAGGATGCCTGGAAAAAAATGCTACCTAGTAATAAGGCCGAAAGAATGATTCATAGTTCATTCATTCATATGAAATAACTCATACTTATTTAGCTCAGCTCCTTCATCATCACCAATCCGTTATTCGTTCGTGATAGGCACGAGTCGTCTGAAAGAAGGCGTTCTTCTCCTTCTTCGACGTGGAGGTTACATCACAATGTATTCCTTCAGCGATAGCTATATTCTGGCCAAATTCTATGTAGTTTTCTACTAATGTCAACAAACAAAAACATATGATTTTTAGGGTTTTCATCTCAGACTCTTTCACAGTTACCACAACTCCAATATTTTCCCCCCAGTTCAACTGGATTATGCATAGACTAAAGCTTTGAAGTCATGTTTATAATAAATATTGTTCAACAGATGTTTCAAATCACCTAAAAATTACCAGTAATTAACTATTTGGAAAACTGTGTCATCCCTAGTGACTAATGATTTGAAGAGACAGATTGCAAATATTCGAGTTCTGGTGGCAATTCAAGTTCCGAATAGGAGATAGATGATGGATGATATAAATCTTACCATTTTGTTTCTTTCGTCTACCATTACCTACCATCTTATTGTTATTCATAACTCAGACGTATCAATACGTATTTTGTAAGCTTTATAATAATTGGCTAGGTAAGTATTACTTCTACATAACCCAATTACCTACTTACCTATTTAAATTTTAATTAAAGGAGCATTGAAAAAAATGTTGTTTTCCATTGACTTACAAATAAATGGACGACGGGTCTAATACAAAAACCACGAAAAAAATGTCACAAGTCAACCTATTCGAAATTTAAATTGTAATGTCATCGCAGTATCGCGCTGTCAGTAGAACAAATGAAGACTAAAGCGGAGTTTGGCGCTCTGTATACGATTTTAGCGCCTTACAAGTGCGGACACTTTTTAGCGCGGACCCGACGTCCATATAATTGTAAGTCAATGTTGTTTTCCTATGCCATCATTGGTTGACTAGCAACGTTTTGTTATTAAACGTTCTACATCGAATTTGGCTACAGTATAGATGTATTGCTGCAAAATATTGGCAAATATAATTAAAATCATAGGTACATGTATGCAAAAATTATGATTTAAGACATTTCTTTCCCAAAAACAGAACAGAAACATTAACTTACAATGACAAATACTTGATCAATTTAAAGCCATCGAGTGTATAACCAGAAATAGAGACGAAATGTCATTTAATTTGTTTGAAAACCATTCTGGCATATCATTACGGTGACAACTGCGCTCCGATTGGCCAGGCCGAATTCAAAACAATTGACGGGTGTCGTCAATTGTTTCACTTCACTTCACTTGCTATAATGGACGAAAATTGTAGAATTACATATTTAATATTTAATTACCGATTAAATTTGATTCCGTTTGTTTTGTAATTAGATGTTTTGCTGTTTTTCCCCACACCACCGAATGGAACAGCACGCTATTGTTTCGCCATTAGAGATATTATCTTTATTACAATAAATATATTTCAGTGCAAACGAGAGTTGATATTTATAAGTGATGCATCACTGACGAGTTACCAGGAATGTGCCATACATACCTTATTTCGTCTCTATTTCTGGTTATATACTCGATGTTTCGGACCCATATCGAACAGAGAGCGGGAGTAGACCCCCAGGTACAAACAAAATTTTAAGACATTGTTGACGTGATTATAGACTAAATGATTATCACTAATTGCAGTTTAGGTTTCTTACTACGGTTTTTTTATTATACTAAGTAACGAGACAAAGATGGCATGCGCCTGGTGGTAAACGACCCGCCTGTTCATAACAGTTGCAATGCTACGCAGAGCTTTAAATTGTAAAGATTTGAAGGGCATTATGACTGCGTCCATCACCCTGAGATATAAGTTGCCAAGTCCCAAGTGCCTGTAATTTCACCAGCACCCTTACCCTTCGAAACTGTAACGGCAGAAAATGGTAAGGTGGCAGTACTAACTGGACGAACACTGTCACAAGGCTTTCCACTGCTACTATGAAATATCGGGATAATAAAAATCATAGCGTGGTGAAAAAACCTGTAGCTAATGATTAATCAAAATGTATCGACACTTGAATGGCAAAATGGGATAAGCGACATTTTTGGTCATATTGAGTTATATACACCGTTGAAATCAACGAATGTTTCTGATTCCATCGGTATATATAACTCAATATGACCCGAAAGTACCACGTATCTCATTTCGATTTTTTTATATATCATAGAAAATAAGTTGTTGGCAAAAACCGCCGCAAGGATTCGAAACATGGACCTCTCGATTGAGAAGCAACCACTCTCCCACTGGACTACCGTCGCTCTAACTCCTTATTCAGATAAAACAAAAGAAAATATATTAACGTTCAAATAGCACCATCATCTAGTAAAACAATGAAAGTGCAAAGGCCTCGAACAGATCCTATCGCCGCAATCAGATCGTAATAATCGCCGGCCGATATCTGTCTAATGCCGTTTTAATCGCCCTTTGATTTGTTTCTGATTGCGCATACGCACAGTCTTTTGTTTTTGATTGATGGACCTTTCTTCCTTCGTCTTCCTCAGGAGTCCAAGTCTCTTTATTGTTATCGTATATTTATCGAGTACTTTACGTTTACATATTGGCTATTCGTACCATTGGTAAAATACAGCCACGCGTGGTAACTTAAACCAAGAAATCAAAACTAAACCTATTTATGTAATAGTTACCAAGCAGTATGTTTAAAGGTCACAGCGTCACAGGAACATTATTTGTCCGTCACATCTGTGTTTATCCGTCACACCGTCACACGCTTTGGCGTTACACTGATCAAACATTAAGTCAACTGGTAGCACAAACTCTGTTTAAACACGTCTTAAAACTAGGTACATATTTATTATTGTCTTTTCTTACATTCCGAGTTATCTTTGAATATTTTTTCAATTCGTAGAATAGAATTATTTATTTCGCGATATGACAATGTAAAACACATTTGTTGTCAGAGTACAATAATTGGCACTAATGTAGAAAAAGATGAAATACAATGTAACGTCAAAATTCACTCATGGTCATATCGGTAGGTGAAAGGTAGAGGTCCTTAAGTCCTATCGTCATTTGTTTTTCATTTAACATCTTTTAATTGACCTTAAAATTGATTATAAATGCTTAATTATGAGCCTCATTCCGTTTAAAACACTCAATTAAAATTATTTTTTGTAGCAGTAGAGCTTCTTGTGGAAGAGTTCATCAACGGTAATACTGTCATGTTACCTATTTCTATCGCCAAGCAGTAATGTCAGCATTACTGTGTTCCGGTTTTGAAGGATAAGAGTGTGAAATACTAAAGGTTATTATACAACTTCTGCGTACTTGGATGACAAAAATCCGTGGTAGTAACCCGTTTAGCTCATGGAGGTAGTCTCGATCTCTGATGTTTCAAATAAAGAAAAATATTGTAAATGTTATTTACAAAGAGCAACCCCTAGAGTTTCTTGCTCATTCTTCTCAGGGGAATCTGCCTTACGAATGAGCGGTAGAGTTTAACCATTGTGACGATTTCAAGTGTAATAATGCTTGCCTATGAAATAAAGATTATTTTGAATTTGAATTTGAATTTGAATTTGAAATTACAGGCACATGGGACTTGCCAACATATGTCCCAGGTGACGGGCGCAGTGGCAGTGCCCCACAAATCTTTGCGATCTAAAGTGGCACTGCAACTGTTATAGATAGACGTGTAGCTCACCATAAGACACGACTTGTTCATGTCGTAATATTGTAAAAAAAATACTGTTTGGCGCTACCGGATTATATAACACATTTTATATTATGTCTCTGAGAAGCAGAAACTTTAAAAAAAACGAAATTAATCAATATTATTCATACCAAAATGGAATGCCAACTGACAGTACCATTTTTTTTTTCAGAAAATTAAAAATAAAACAGAACACAAGTTTCGCAGGATTATTAATTATAATGGGATAAAAATGTTGTCAAAGAATTTTCTTGTGGTAATATCGCATTTTTATCATGTCCCTGTTATTCCATAAAGCGGCGGGAGCCCCAGAGAGGGAGCGACCAGAGAGTCTCTTTAAAACGGCTATAACAAAGGCTTACTATTATAAAAATCCAAGATGTAGAGAAACTAGAGGTGACAATTTTCATCACACTATCTTTGGGGTGGTCGTATACGCAACTTGAACTAGTCTGACCCAAATTGTTCCATCTGTGTTTGTACAGTGTTAAGACAAATGAACAAGGTCCATAAAGCTTACAGTGCTGCCACACAGCCGAACGTTACTCCGTTTGCACAGGGCATGATGTTGGGGCAGACACTGTTTAGTTTACACTAACACTGTCTATTGATGCATTTGGTGCATTCGATACGGAAGAGTTGATCGAAGTTTGCTTATAACCAGTCTTGGATTTTTAATGGTATCAAGTGACGGGACGAACAAGTCGTGCGCCTGCTGGTAAGCGACACGCCTACTTGTCAATTTATGTCTCAGAGTGACAGGCACAGTGGCAGTGCCTCTAAGCTCTTTGCAATTAAAAGCTCTAAGTGGCACTGCAACTGTTATTGACAGGCGTGTCGCTTACCACCAGGCGCACGATTTGTTCGTCCAGTTACTTGGTATTTTATAAAAATAGTGACGGAACATGTCGTGCGCCTTTTTAGTTCGTTTTAAAAAAAGACAGACTATAGTAATTGCTATTTTCATAATCTAAAGTACAGAACAAAATACAATACAATATGAAGTGGAATTCCTTGCCTGGACACTTTTTCCCTAAACACTACACCTTGTGCTTATTCAGGGCGAAAGTGAATAGGCATTATTTCCTCATCGTCACTTTTCATCAAATGCGCACTTAAAAATAAAATATAAAAATCCGGTACTTCGAAGGTATTAACCACTGTATGTGTATTAACTTCGTTGAAGTTAAGGTAAATATATACTCTAACAACTCCTCCGAACTTATCAGTTCTACGGTCAGTTATACGTCTATAATGAGAAAAATGGAAAAAATAACAATCCACCATTTTTTTTTCAATTGTAAGATTTTACAATAAAGTATGATTATTTAAAAAATATAAGTAAGCTGCTACAAGAGTCATTTTAAGCTGAATACTTGATTAAGCTCATTGAAAAGGTTTAATGACTCTTCGTCAGCAATAATATAGAGCTTACAATAGCTCCGAATTAACGTAATGACGTAAGCAATAGGGATGTGAAAGTAACAGTTTGAAATAATATAAAAGTAACGGGACTTATTTTATACTATAATGTGTGATAACCGTGTTAGTTTTCATAATAGTTTGAAATAATAAAATAAATAACAGGTATTATGGAGATGGCAGGCGCGTAGTTTCTAAATACGTCAAATAATGTTTTATTGTATTAGACATGGATTTTATTCATTTGAGATTGTGCACAAGGTCACTCAGACAAATGTACATTGTGATTTTGATAAAGATATTAAGACATTGTTTTAAATGACGTAAGGTTCAAGTCATACCGACGTAATTTTTCGCTTCGATGTATTTGATTTTTGTATCTATAATAATAAGAATCTAGTGTAATATATTCACAAAAAACATGGTAGTAAAACAACATGATATTCAATAAATCGAACATGAATCTAAATAATGTCTTAACTCAAAAATTGTGAAAATCAGAAAACACGATTTCAAAGTTCAAAAAATTACTAAATGTAACCAATACATTTATATTTTCGTTTACAACTGGATAACTAATTATTATGTATAAATAAAAATAATCTCATTTTTCCGTAAACGATTATTTTATGAGGAACTGTATACGTTTTTACAACAAGATTCCGGAGCATATATTATTATAATTATCATTTCCTAAGTTTAAAACTTACATCAGAAATATTTTAATTGTCAATTGTTAATTGAAAAAAAGTCATATTACAAAATTGAAGACTGTGTTAGATAAAGATTTATGAAAAGACTACATGGGTCCAGATTCCACACAAATTTGATTCAAAGTGTATTCCATAGCTTTTAACTTTATTTGATAAGAGCAATCCCTAGAGTTCCTTATTCGTACTTCTCGGGGAAGTCAGCACAGTGAACGAGCAGTGGCTTCAAAAAAGTTTTCAAGTATAAATTTGTTTTAAATGTGGCATAAATTATTCTCTAATCTTGATATGACTGCTGTGTTTTCTCAATTCTATCATATTTGCGCTGCGACAGTAATTCATTTCAAGTGCGAAACAAAGATACAAATTACTAGAAACAAATAATGTTAAAATTTATATAACCCTATGGCATTTGGCACAACTCAATTAACCCAAGGTAGTTAGCAAAAGTAGCACAGCCAAACATATGGTTACCCATCTGACAAGGCCTTCAGAAAACCTCTCAAAAGAACATTCCAAATGAATGAAGCCGCGAACAACACTAATTACAATCGAACGAATTACGCCAACGGCAGAGAGGCAAACTCAAAGACCTTATTGAAATACCAATTGGACCTCTCTCAATAGCTTTTTGTTAACAACACGTTCAAGTATTAAAAACCTCGCGTATTTATGTTACCAAAACACCGCGACGACGTGTCCAATGACCCAATGGGCCCGAACCAAGGGACCTGGCCAAAGTTTTTGTTTAAACAGATTATGAAATTGAAGAACACACATCTTTAGGCCGATCAAACAGTTGTGTTAACGCTGGAACAACAACTGGACCGTCAAGAATTTTAACTCGACACACTACACAAACATATGCACCCACAGTGGCACCACATGTCAGAGCGCGGGGACAAAAACACAAAGATAATTTACGTATTTTGACGCAGAAGTTTACTCTGCGCCCGGATGTCGTCGGTTTGCCAGGGCTCGTTATCTTGAGGGTTTAACTTGAGCAGTGCATGAATGACGCTTATCAGTCCCCGGTGCAGGCGCAGGTAAAGCTGACGTCTTAGTTTATGGCGTCATGCTACCGTTTCTAGCGCGGTTTTAATTGCTTAGTTTTATGCCTTCAATAAACTGCGATCCGTGAAGATCTCATATTGTAAACGTGCTAAAAAGACTACGAACTCCTCACGATTGAAATCTAGACCTCTGTCATAATTAGGCTGAAAAATAGTTGTTATAACATAAATATACCACATTAACTGCCTCCGTGACCGAACGATTACCACTCTAGTCTGCCACGCAGAGGTCCCGTGTTCGATTCCCGAGCGGGGAGAAATATTTGTATGGCCTACATTTATTTTTCTCGTCAGTTGGTGGTTGTCTACATGTGTGTCCATGGCACTCGCGACACAGGGTTTCCCTAGTACGGGACTATGAGTGACCGCGTTAGTTATTTTAATATTTAATTACCTGAGTAATGGAATCCAGAGGCACTGAAGTTCGGTTCTAAATTGACCATACCGGGAACTGAAGCTCATTATCAAGCGCCTGCTAGTGCTAGCCACGGGGCCGCCGAGGTCGTCAAATTGAATATAAGTACTCATACCACAATCGCAGCGCGTCGTATTGTTATTCGTGTACACGGAAACTGATTTCTTATATGAATAGGGTTGTTCTTATGTTACGTACGCGGTAGGAAATTTAGAAACCTAGTGATTACGCGCTTGGTGGAGCGGGTAGATAACACGGATTTCCCTAACAAAGTCAAACAGCGCGGCGCTCGCCCCCGCTGCCCACCAATTCGTAATGCCTTTGATTTTATTTGTTAAAAATCGGTTAAGTACCCGTGTCGAACGGCGGCGGTGGGTGGCCGCCATCTTGCTTTTATTATTTCACTTTTTGTCCGAGCTAGCCGCGGGAGGCGTACGGTGCGATTCAACTTTTTTATGAGTGACAATATATACCTTTTTTGATCTTATTCCCTTATTTTGTTATTCCGAGAAACATTTCTCGTTTACCTGTGGTTAATTTCGGACAGATCTTTAACTAATAAAATCATAAATTATTCGGTCGCTGCGAGGTGATCTGTTAGTTCACTATTTTATGGTGTATCAAACTGCTCCAAGTTATTTTAAGCTTTGGTAATAAATAATGTGGATACTTACTAATGAATCGACCTCGGGGTCCGCTATATAGTAAGGTTTTTCTTGACGTATCTGTAACAAAAGGAAAGATTATACAATATTATTTCATATTTAAAAAGTTATTAGCTCTGAATGGTGGCAGTTCATATGGAGATTCATAGCTTGTTTTATAATGAGACGGGCAGTTTGCTGAGTAGATTAACTGCGGGCGCAGCCGGGTCGTAATGCTTGTCCGTGGCTAATAAAATGCTCGCTCGCTTGGCTGCGCACACGCACCATAGAGCGAGCAACAGACGAGACACAAACTGCATCACCATTTCACGTCCGCCTCTCAAAATATTGTGTGTTAATGATGCACTCGTGTTTTAGACTTATTTAAAATAGAATCTGTTATTTCAAAACACTCGTAACCTAGGAGTTATGACTGATATTACTTGGTTAAATACTAAGTTTTTTTTATTAGAGTGAGAGTTACGTTGATAGGGGATTTTTTTTTCAATGTTAGTAGCAGTAGAGCTCCTTGTGAAGTTTGCCCAGGGAAGTACAGCCACCTTGCCTATTTCTGCCCCTAAACAGTAATGTCAGCGTTACTGTGTTACGGTTTTGGGACTTGTGAATTTATATCTTAAGGTGACGGGCGCAGTGGCAGCGCTCCGCAGATCTTTATGATTTAAAGCTGTCAGTGGCACTGCAACTGTTATGGACAGGCGTGTCGCTTACCATCATAGTAATTATAACTTATCGCGTTCTTAGGTTTTCGCGATTGTTGCACATAGGAAATAAAACTATTTTTCCGGATTTAAATCGCGTATATTTGTGTTTTCGGGTCCCATGATCATGGTCACCGTGACCATGGGACCTGTAAAAGGCCCGAAACGTCGGTTTGTTTGAAAAACGAACATACGCAATTTAAATCCGGAAAAATTATAGCTTTTTTTTAAAAAAAAAACGGACCTCATAAGGTCGTGGAATTACATTTATTTGCCAAGTTTTATTCAAATCGTATTCATCCCCTAGTTTGTCACTCTTAGATATGGAATGTTTTCTTCAAACTGTATCGTATTTAAATGGGACTAATACTGAGGTACGCTCTTTCCAACAAAGAAAGAATCATCAACATATATACAAAAAAAAAGAAAGAGGTTCTCATTGGAATTGAGAACCTCTTTTTTTGTAGTCGGTTAAAAATACAAGCTGACAGTTCTAGTCTTCCTATTGTATGTTTCTACGTTCTCACTTAAGACACGCTTTTTTTCGACATAAACTTGCTACGACCGGAAATACGATACAATCTAGTATGCGCTTCCATCCAACCGATTTTCTTTTTTTTATCGCACTACATTGACTTGACGTCAGCTCAAACAACACATAATTGCTGTTTGAACTCGCCTCCAGCACTTGTTTATTACAAATTTAATTAAAATAACAAATGTTACCGGACATTTTTCTTACCATAAACGCATTTGCGCATTGCATCAGATTCGTATCGGTTCTGAATCCGAGACTATACAAATCTAGAAAGCTCGGACCCACTTCGGATGTCGCTTAAGAACTAAGGGTCGTATTCTAGAACTCTACTCAATGTTCAAGTCAGGACTTGAGTATGATTCAAAGCACTAGAAATCATACTCAAGTCCTTGCCATTAGGGTCGTATTTCCAGTGCTTGGAATCATACTCAAGTCTGCACAAATCCTGACTTGAGCATTGAGTAGAGTTCTGGAATACGACCCTAAGTCCGATTCAAACCCGAGACAATACGAATACCGCTTGTACACCTAGAGATATCGAGCTTCTATCTGAGATTCACTTAAGGGTTCCAGCTAAGCATTTACGTAACGAGTCACTAATTCATTTACCTGTCGCTTTGCCAAATTACAAACGGAATTCATTTATACGGCGTGCGAGCAATAATTTTAACAAAGTTTCTGCTCTTTACGATTTTGATTTGTTTAACACAAACTGTGCGTACGTTAAGAAGGTATTATCTAATTCATTTTTTTATTACTAAAGTAATCTAATTTGCGTAATGTTAAATTGCTTGCATAATGTGTCATGTGTGTGTGAAGAATGTCGTTTACTTGTTTAGTGTCATCGATGCTGTATTTTCCTATTGTATTTTTATCAGTAGGGTACTGTTATTGCTTATAATTATTTAATATAGTTTCTATTACATTGTGATATAAGCTGTTTGTGTCCTCAAAAATAAAATAAGTAAATTGAAAAAAATAAATATGTAAAATGATGCCTGTGACATTTTGCACGTCATTCCTGGAATTCGGAACTGATACAAATGGAAGTGACGGGAAATCGCCGAGCTTAAAATCACCAAGATCTGATTATGAGACAAACCTAAGTTGAAAAGTCCCATGTGCCTGTAATTTCACCAGCACCCTTTAGAACCGAAACGCAAAAATGCTCACACTACTGCTTCGCGTTAAAAATAGACAAGTCGGCAAATACTTCCATGGGAAAACTCTTTCTACTACCAGGTTTGATGATGGGACATGAACACTTAAGTAATGCTTATCCTATCAGGGAATAATAAGTCTGCAAGAAGGGAATTCCGCTCTACAGCCGTTCGTCGTATAAATGTGGAAGTGTAACGCTTCGTGCGAGTCTTTGGAATATCCACTACATAGGGGTGGAACTCAAGCCTACGTCTAGTCCCCCGGTGATGGAAAGGAGAAGACGGAATTAAATCGTGTAATTCCATAGCACACTCTCCGTGATATATCCTGTAGAATACCGACAAGCAGGCAACTTGAACTTGTTCAAGCTTCTGCACCTTCATATCTACTTATTCGAAAATAGACAACACGTCACTTAACAGAAAAATGTAATTGATGTAAATTTGTAATTTAGAATTACAGCAAGCCAATAACAAATATATCAACATTTCTATGAATAACCATTTCAAATGCCAGTTTTTCATAATTAAAAAAAATTAACATAATTAAAATATAATAGAACAAGTTTAATTCCACACAAAAGAACCAGAGACAGTATGTAGGCATAGTGCAAGATACAATCGACAGCCTTATCGCTCAACAACGATCTTTACTAGGCAACCTTAAAAATTGTAAGGAATTATAAATACATGTGCCGGGCAGTTAACGGTGCACAAGCCAGGTAAACGGTATATAAATTTAACTGAATGTACAATTAAACTTTATAAAATACACTATATAACATAACCACAACAATCATCTGGTACTAAATTAGGTAACTCCCTATACTTTGTGTACTAGCGGCGCACTCGGGGGTGCTACCCGGGACACAGCAACTAGTGGATCTGCACTCGTTCTCGATCGACATTTCGTCCGAAACAATTACAGTCAAGTAGGTAATATTCGATCAAATTAAAAAATATTTCTTTTTTCTTTCAGTGGCATCGAGTATATAACCAGAAATAGAGACGAAATGTTATTTAATTTGTTTGAAAACCATTCTACCAAATCATTACTGTGATAGAAAAAAAACACAAACCTATCTCGAAATTTTACAAGGAAACCGCTGTATTCAATATGTACTTTATACATACCAATGATTTTTTTTGGTAACCCATTACAAAGTCGAAATTTTTTTTGTCCGAGTTAACGTTTGTCCGAATGTTCATTACACCGAAAACCGAATTGTAACGAAACAGTTGTTCGTTCAGGATATGTTGAATATTTATCGCAAAGACTCGATTAGGTTCGGTTAGGCTAGGTTTAAAAGAAAATAATATTTTCCCTTCAAAATTATTTTCGAGGTTACAAAATTTCGACCAAACGTTATTTCTGGAAAATGTCATTTCGGACTACTGATAGATAACCATTTTTTTTATATCAACTGAACTAAATAAAACACGTATAGTAAGTATACGATATATATTTTTCAAATGACTTTAACTACGTTTGTAAAAAATAAATTCTGTAATAAAACCAGTGTTCCGCTAGACCCGCGCTATAGAACCGATTTATTACGGAAAAAATATGAATTCAAACTGAGGTCGTATCAATTCTTAAGCAAAATCACCGTATTTGACAT